ATAAGATAATAGTTATTTGCAGACTCTATGATTGCACGAATGAAGGCTAGTCAATCATTCTACAATAATACGTGGATATTTTCGACAAAAATACAAAAAAATACATTGATTTGTCATATTTTGTAGTTTCGGTGCTCTTAAAATATCTCCTAAAGTCGAACAAAAATCCCTACAAAAATCTATTTTTTCATGTGTTACTGATTTAAACTTTTTCTAAAATGTTGATATAACCTAGATTTTTAGGAGTTTTTTCAAATGAGCTATTAAAAAACAGAGAGTCCCGTGCAAAATTTGAGGGTTTTGCCCTGTTGAAGCTCAAAACRCGTATGGTTCTGCAATAAAATCTTGTAGATTTTTCAGCGGTTTTTGAGCGCGCGCTCATCGTGGGCTCAATTCGAACGTTCAAAAGTAGGCAGCCCCCTTAACCATGCTTCGGACTTTTTTTTGATTTTAATTTTGAGTTTAATTGTTTTATAATACAAAAAGGGGTAAATTAAAAAGATAAAATTGTTTTCAAATAAAACGATGTTGTGATTTTACAGAAACATTCCATGAAACCTGCAATATCTTTACTTGTCGCCTTAGATAAGCCTGCGTACAGCCAGACTTTTCTCTCGTCGGCTCCACGCAGGCTACCTTAGAACAATGTAACTCTGCCATCGGGCTTCCTGTGGCCATTTCGCCATAAGGCCTGGGCTATTGTGTGCTGCCAAAATGGCGAGCTCTGTTGATAAGTTTATTAACGGGAAATGCTCGTAAAAATGACAATTACCATTAGACCTTTTGATAGCTGATTAATATATTAGCTTATACATTTTTCATATATTTCATATATTATATATTTCAGTCGATATGTTTTATTAACGGGAAATGCTAGCCGAAATGACTGTTATTGATCAAGACCTTATTTGATATCTAATTAATATTTAAGCAGTATAGTAGAAGATAGTTCTTATGACTCTACCGGTTAAATAGGGCACGCACGATGTTGGAAGGATATAAGCTTATATATTTTATTTTCTATTGTAGGCAAAAGGTGGTGATGGTGGTAGAAAGAAAATCCGATATATTTCAATATCTCTTAGATATCCCTGCTGTTAAACAAGTAATAGAGGACAATGGTGGGGTTATTAGAGCCAGATTTGCTGCAGATGGCAGAAGAACAAGTGCAAAAATTGGATCGGTGATGGCTGTATTGAGCCTTTTGGATGAGGGCTGCAATACAGTTGATTACCAATATACCATTGCTCTTTATAATGGTAAGGTTTCAAGTTTTTTACTTATTTCGCAGAAATCTTTGTATATTTTGCATAATCTTAACTCATAAGCTTATTTAGTTTACGATTTTTTGTATACTTACTAGTATGGGGATATGCAGGAAAAAATCCATAAGCTTAAGCTTAAGTTATATGATTAAGAACTATAAAAACATAAGCTTGTTCCAGACCTCATACAACATAAAATTAAAGATGATTTCAATATCAAGGTTAAGAGGAAATTATCATATTTCACTATAAGCTTTCAAGTAATGTTTAATAAACGAGCAGGAGTGTTTTATCGGGTATAAAACACGAGGCGCAGCCGAGTGGTTTTAGACCCGATAAAACACGATCTGCGAGATTATTGAACGGCTTAGAAAACTCATGATGTTTGTTCTCATACTGTACCGATTTCTTTACGAAATGAACCAAGTTTGATAGAGAAAATCCAAGTTAAAGTTTATGCAAATGAAGACGAATCTTTATCAGATATAAAATCACCTTCATGGTCATGATTTCTATTGTTTTCTTCATGAATTATTAATGAGTTTTCTAATTATGAATAAAAAATAGATATCACGGTTATTTAATATTTTTCCTCTTTTTATTAAAGGAAAAGAAGATTATAAAGAGCTGGAAACTTGCCTTGGGCCTGCTTTTGAGGAAATTCGCCTGCTGACCCAAAAAGGCCTTAATATTGGCAGCAAACAATATCAAGTTGAATGGTAAGTTTTATTATCCAGATCTTTTCGAACCACCTATGCACTTTCGATCCACCTATATACACTTTCGATCCACATACATATACATTCGATCCAATACAGTTATGAAATGTTTTATAGATGTTTAGTGTTTTATTTCGGAAATATTACAGAAATATCGCTTTACGATCCTACGTTTAAGTTTTGCCTACTGAATTTCGCCTACGTATCAAATGCATTGTAAAACCTATCTATGAAGGGTGAGATAATAAATATACTGTAAAAAAGGAAAAAATAGTTCTCGTGTAAAGAACAAAACTTTTACGTGAATAGCAAGGCAAACTAGTAAGAGAAACACTGAAAACTTTAGACGCGAACGAATAACTGGTAAGCGTTGTGTGACAACACCGTAAACCAAGAAAAGTCGTGAAACCTATCCTAAACAAGTGTGATACAGTAAATATATAAAAAAAAAGTAAAACAAAGCGACTGCTGTTGAGTAAAGAAAGAGAAACGTTACGAATATGAGTCAAGAACTTCTGAGATTAACGAAAGGGAAACGTTACAAATGAGTCAAGAACTTCTGAGATGCGAACAAGTTGTTTTGTGACAACAAAAGCAACAAGTAGTTACCGCTTTTGTTGTCACAAAACAATTCGTTCGCATCTCAGGAGTTCTTGACTCATTATTCGTAACTTTTTTCTTTCTTTAATCACCTTCATACTTATAAAAAATTTCTTAGCGATAAAAAATATGTTTTGTGAAATAAAGATTTTGGTAAGTTAGCAAAGATTTTTTCATGAAATCTTATAGTTTACCGCTTGCACTTGACAAGTCGTTACGCTTTTGTTGTCACGAACTCGTTCGCATCTCAGAAGTTCTTGACCTTATTATCGTAACGCTTTTCTTCCTTTATCAACAGCAGTCACTTTGTTTTCCTTTTTTATATATATATATTTACTGAGTTACACTTGTTTAAGATATGCTTCATATGATCGTTTACATTCGTTTACATTTTGCATGCTGTACACAGCATATAGGACTTGTTATATGCTTTAGTTATATTTGTGGATCGAAAGTGTATAATAGGTGGTTCGAAAAGACCTGGATCTGGTTCGAAAAGACCTGGATCGGAAAGACTTTGGTTCGAAAAGACCAGTAACCCTTATGAATCTTAATAAAGGGGTACTGTTAGATTTTGGGTTCAGCTGGGATTTTACGGTATACAAACAATCACTCCATAAATATTTGGGATGTCTGCAGGTTGCCCTTTTATCCGAGCTAGTGGTTTATGTATAAATGTTTTAAATATCATTGTTCATATTATCATCTTTACTTTTAGGGTTTGCTGTTGTGACTGGAAATTCCTCTCACTTGTCTATGGCCTCAATGCAGCATGCTCTTTCTATTTTTGCATCTGTTGCTATTGCACAAAAGATCTGATAAGCTGCCTTGATAGTTAGTTTTTTTGTCATATTTAAGTACTTGATAACTTGATTTGTTCCATTTAAAATTGTAAACTTATTATTTTGATAGTGAATATTTTTTGACACATAAATTTTCAATATTGCAGTTGAAGATTGGCCAATTGAAAATTGTTGTGGGAATAAAGAAGAAGAAGGAACTGAGAGAAAAGGATGCATAAGGAAACCACTTCTGTCCATTCCATTCACTTCTGTAGTTGCTGATACCCTGCACATGTTTCTTAGAATCATGGGCTTACTTTTTGGACAGGTAAACCTTTAAAACATTAAGTAACGTATGTCACAGTCTTAACAGGGTATACAATTTACCTGAAGATGGATCTATGATAATACAGGATCTATGATTTTGATTTTTGGTAGGGTACTAATATTTTTCAAACAATTATTGCCTAGTATCCCCCCCCCTCCCACCCCACGAAAAAATCTAACATCCATGATATTATCCTTTTTAGGTTATTGACAAAGTCGTAAACGAGGACAAAAAAGAGCAGCTTGTGAATGAAATGGACAGAATTGGAATTCCTTTCAAATTTTATGATGTCAGAGGTGAAAACTGTGAAGATGGAGAAACAAAGTTTACAAAGCTAGATGGTAAACAATAATTGGAATGTGTTGTTCCAGAACTTATCCATCCCCCAGAGGAATTTCTGATGGGGGGTCAGAGAAAGAAAAAAATTACAAGAAAATTGTCTTTTAAAAATTCCTCCATGTGGAAGTATAGATAATTTCTGGAACTACACAATGTTTAATAGCTTATAATTTATATATGGCTAGAATTGTTGGTCAAACGAAAAATAGTTTGAAAAACAAAATGATAATTAGCTAGATTACATTTATTGACCCTATACAATTATAGCCCCTTCTACTTAGCATTAATCAATGTAGTTACAGTGTAGTTGCTTTGGATTAAATAACTTTTCTTCCTTAACAGGAAACGATTTGAGAAAAGTTCTCAACTTGCTTGATGTGAAGAAAGTGCTGGAAGGTATTCTATCAGTGAATACACAGGATGTTGAAATGCTTTGGAAGGTGAGTTAAACATCATGAAATCAGCTTAACAGTTGTAAGCATCAGATAACTCAAAATAGGAGTATTAGTGAATACAAATTTATGCTGCATTTTGAATCAATGATTGAATGAAAACTTATTTAATGATAATTATTCTACAGGGCTTTCAGATGTTGCTGGATTCGATTTCATCAAATCCTGGTGATCCTCATTTTCTTCAGCCAGAGGAGTTCAAGAGAAGAGCTAGAGAATGGGGCCATCTCTATCTGTATGTTAATTATCCAGAAGACCTCACACCATACATCCATGGTACGAAATAGCTTAATTGATTGATACGAATAATCTTTAGTGAATTAACAATTTGGGTCGTAAATATTGGTACACTTGATTCAGAATTAGCTTAACAGTATGTAACCTTCAAAAGTTCTTAAAGATGGAGAAGCAGAGTAGAACTCTTGATTGCTGTTTTGTATATCCTTTTTTTAGAAAATTATAATAGTTTTTAATTAAAAATTTATTTGTTTTTTCAGCTTTTGTTTATCATGTTCCCCAATTCATGGCCAAGTATTCATGTATCAAGCCATTCAGTTGCCGCCAGCCCGTAGAGAAAAAAAACATGTCCAAAACCAGGTGTTCCACAGGGCTTCACAGAAGGGTGGACGAGGATCAGAGTACTCAGTACAGGTAAGAATGTTAATAGTTATTAATAAAAGTGCTCACAATATAGCATTTATGGAATATATATAGTAAAGAAAATAAAATCCTGACATGAAGTCATCATAGTAGCTGCATGTACTCATACTATATAATATTAAATTTACTGACAGATCTTGGAAAGAGAGAACCGGTCCTTGGTTGCCAAGAAGATGGATCTCGTTAGAGAGAAAAGAGAATATCGAAAACATCATGTTATTGCTCAAATTCATCAAGAAGAAGATGTAGCAGAGGACTGTTTCGAGGGATTTTCAACGTATGAAAAACACCATGGTGAAGAGGGCTAGGCTTTAAGTAATTTTGCCTTTCTAATACCCCATTCACACCATGAACTAATGTGGATTAGTAATTTATTCATTAAGTAACATAAATATATATATAATATAATAATATAAATAGCTCAGTATAATATCTCAAGCTTATATATATTTTTTTCCTACAAGGGCCATATTTATCCATGACTTTGTTAAAAGTAATTTGTGATCACGTGATGGATCTTTTTTCTGCACACAGGGCATTTTTTGCCCAGTTCTTTTAACTTTTGTCCACAAGTCAAACAGCAAACTTGATGGCCAGTGTGGCCATGGATAATACTTGCATTCCTGGGCATTACCTTACAGACAATGCAATTTTTGTCTTCATTATCAAAACTTTTGATATTTTGATCATCGTCATCTTCATCTTCTGTGTAGTCATCGCTGCTCTTTAACTCTATGGCTGGCTCTGTAGTGGTACACCAAATATAGTATTTTATAATAATAATATATAGCTTTATATCTTCGTAATGATACTATTCTTGGCTTTCACCCACGTGACACCGGTCTTGACAACGGTTGCTATCCGCCATCTTTGTGCCCCTCGATAGTAAACAAACAGACGCGACAGAGAGATATGTGTGAACTTTTCACTGAACATGGTGCATTGTATCGTAGTTGGTTGCGGTTCAAAGAGCGGTAAGAAAAAA